TTTATACACAGCCCCTCTATCAACAAGAGCCTGCGTTGGAGATGATTATAGTCCATTTTTAATCTCTGGGGGCTAGGATTCCGAACACTGGTCTATAATCTGTTCATCCTTAAGATAAGGCTACATCCAAAGCTAGGAGCACGAGCTAGCCCGCACTCCTGGCTGTAAGACGTGCATTTTTTTAGCGTGAGCGCCCGCTTTGCGGCAGAACGTTTCAAAGCAGCCAACCCGGGCTCTCGTGCTTGTGGCATTGGCTGCAGTCTCAGAACGAATTATACCGTTTGCCTGTTGTACGTTATGTTACGGCAGCTTGCGTCTGTTTACGCCGAGCTGCGGCCGTAATTTCCAGGGACATCCGGGCTTCTGTTTTAGCGCGGCAAGCAATTCAAGGAGTAAAGCCCCTTTGTGTTTGTTTCACAAGTAGCGTCAAATGAGTCAATGCTTCTTGCGTCCCTTGGAAACAAAAGGCGGCGCAGCGCTCAAAAGAGCGCTCCTTGGAAGCAAATGGAGACGAAGAACTGGCTCGCAGCATATGTTTCGCGCTTTCGCAAGGCGATGGTTTTCGGTAGTGTGAACTGTGAATGAACCTTCATTAAAAATTCGCGTTTTTTTTTTTTGTTTTGTTTTGCGTTGTAGCATTTTATCTATCAGGTGACCTTGTAAGGCCCCTCTATTCTATGCGCCTATGGGACACCACTAGAATACTGCCTAACAATTCTAATTAAAGATATATTGAAGTTCTAATAATCATCCGCACGCGTTCGATTCACGTGTGGTAACCGAAAGTTTTAATACGATGTTTTGATGGGGCATCTGCAGAATGCGATTGCTGATAGAAAACTGGGGGAAATTATTTCAAAGAACGCAAACAAACAAAATGATCATTGAGTATGTAAACAATTGATGGTAATTGGAGTGACAGAGACAATAGCAGACTAATTAAAATGGCGCCCTTAAGAAGCCAAATTTTTTGACAAATGTCAACTACCACTTTGAGGACGCCGAAATGCAAATTTTCGTGGTTCTTCCCGCATGCTTTGATCACCTTAATGTTTTTTGGTTGTTGTTTTTTATTGCTGGTGTTAGAAAAAAGTCGAAATTTACGTTTGACGAGCGTGGGACTAGAGCCTTCCCGAGAAGTTTTGTAGGCTACTAAACATTCAGGAAGGACAAAATCCGAAAATTGAGTGTTTTATATCTAGAGCCTGCGGCTCTTTTTGCCGGGATCCAGCAGAGTCAGAAACTAGATATAGAGATGGAATTAAGAAGTTTCAAATAAAGGATAAAAAAAAACGCCACCGACATTATAAAAAAAGAGGGGAAAAGCTTACCTGAAGTAGGTTAATGTGAAAAAAGAGCTTTCAACTTTCAGTTAACAAGGTCAGTTTCTGCAACTTCACCAGTGATACCCTATTCACACGGGCACCCATAACCGCTGTTAAGTCACCCTTGACCGCAGTTACGTTTCACCGAAGTTTCCACACTATGCTCTTGGACAACTCTTCCAAAGGTCAAGAGCGTGCATGTACAGCTTTGATGATCGCTCAAAAAACTTTTAGTTTTAACTCTATAGCTATAGGAAGTTTAGCAAGAGTATAGTGTGTTAACTGGGGTTAAGCATAACTGCATTTAGGTGCGCTTGTTTAATACCCTAGTTACATGGGAAAACTCAACTGCAGCTACGCACAACCCCGGTTACCACACTATAATCTTGCACAACTTTCGGGGGCTATGCAGTCAAAGTTTTGGGCACCCGTTCGCTTGCGCATGTTAAACCGCCATCAAAGCTCTGCACGCGCACTTTTCACTTCTTCTGAAATAGCCGTCCGAGAGTATAGTGTTGTAAATTTGATTGAGCGTGACTGCAGTTAAGAATGACTGAACTGCGATTAAGGATTCCCGTATAACTATAGTATAGCCCCCTAGGGTATAATATTTACTTACCTACACCTGAAGAGCTGGATATTGTCAGAGCGAGCTAGAGTGTGCTCAGTCTTCCCTCAGATTGGAATAAAGCGTATACCAAATGTTACACACTCGTGGCTTATAAGTGTAAATCAGGGCCCGTTTGCTCGAACCACTAACCGCGGCTAAAGTTAGCCGCAGTACCTAGGAGAGGGATTTTGAGATCACGTGACTGGCTCGGTAAGGATGCGGGGAAACATGGGCGGTGCCCCTGTGAGTGAGCGCCGCTCGCTTTGGAACTAATATGTCGTTGTAGCTGCAATATCGGGCGCGTTAGTCAGCAACGAATGGTGCAGGAGGCTTTCGCTTTGCCTTACCTCACTTAAACCGCAAAGCATGGGCAATGACATTACCGCATTTTTTAGATAGTGTTTCTATTCTTGACACTCCTAAGCCTAAATGAACGCGATAATTGTCCGCATGACAACGTCTTTGGAAAGCGGATTGTTGATAGCACACAAAAGCAGACGGCGTCCCGACAGACCTTTTTTCTAAATTATCCAAGCATCGCGAGGAGAACGCTGGAAGTGTGATTCTACGGTTCACGCGCGCTGGCCTTCCTCTTATAAAAGATTTGAAGTAAAAAATCATAATAAGGCTTTAACGAACGCGCGTGCAAGGCAAAATTTGTTTTATACTTTTTGTTTTAGAACGGTTACTACTGCAGACGCCAGCACGTGCGACGCGTGCCACTACAGTCGTAGAATGCACCTCGGTGCTTGGATAATTTAGAAAAAAAGGTCTGTTGGGACGCCGTCTGCTTTTGTTTGCTTTCAACAATCCGATTTCCAAAGACGTTGCTATGCCGACAATTATCGCGTTCATTTAGGCTTAGGAGTCCCTAGAATCGAAACACTATCTAAAAAATGCGGCGATGTCATTGCCCATGCTTTGCGGTTTAAGTGAGGTAAGGCAAAGCGAAAGCCTCCTGCACCATTCGTTGCTGACTAACGCGCCCGATATTGCAACCACAACGACATATTAGTTCCAAAGCTAGCGGCGCTCACTCACTGGGGCGCCGCCATGTTTCCCCGCATCCCTACCAAGCCAATCACGTGATCCCAAAATCCCTCTTTTAGGTACTGCGGCTAACTTTAGCCGCGGTTAGTGGTTCGAGCAAACGGTACCAGCTCTCGTCCCAGGACGAGCATTAAGCCTCTGCAGGCCTTCGGGTACGAGTTTAGGCCTTTCAGCCTTGCTCCCGACTCTTCTGAGTCAAATAAATTAAATAAAAGGAGATACAAAAAATAGGTAAAGATTGGCAAGGCACTGCCAAGAGCTGAGCAAGTGCTAGCTCGAGATTGGAAGACAACTGATTTGGTTAAGTCTGTGGTGCGCGATAAACTAATCATAAGACGTATTTTTGGCATCCCCATCAGCGAAAACTGTTATTGATTAGTTCCAAACATGGTAGAATAAATAAGAAAACCACTTTTCACGTCTCAGAATACTTTAACGTTGATAAGTATAAGAACGTCTCTTCAGCGTTGAAGCGCACGGTCGGTTTCTTAAAACACAAAGACGGGAAAATTTTTCCCTGGACTTCCGGCCTGAAATTATGGTAGTTCAATCAGTAGATGTTCTTTATATTAAAGCTGCTGTTGCACGTTCACAACCAAAGGGTTTCAACATTTTAATAAACTTTTTCATTTAGGGTTACTAAAAGGTGTGACATTCTATTCTAGGTTAGAAATTTCTCCATCGAACTAGTGGTATCATTCGTTTGCGGAACCATTTAAATTCCCAGACATGACAACCGAAATTAATAAAAAAAAACAAAAAAAAAACACATGTACAGAACTGGATCATTCAGCTCCAAACACGGTTTTACTATGCGTCCCCTCTCGCTGCCATAAGATGCAGCCATTCATCACTACTTTCTGTACAGTTTAATCACCTATATCACGCGCCTTGACGTTCTCACTTGCACAAGCAACCGAGTGTTCCACAGACAGTTCGGCGTTCTGCCCACGCTGCGCGCACTTCACTTTCTCAGAATACAATAGTCGCCATAAGGACACCGCCGTAAACCGGTTGTAAATATGGACACGAGCTTGGGAAAGTCAATCAACAGTCACAGTAAAACTACACGCCACCCATCAATCAAAGAACCGCGTATTTTGTCACCAATGATCTTGCGACTCAACGTTGAAGTCGAATGTTCAAATCCCAAAAGAAACACTTGCAGGTCTTCACTGATGGATTTCACACACAACACAGTCAGTGCGCTTGAGGCCGTCAACGTCAACTCAAGGTCAAGCCAAGGTCGCATCGAGTTCACAGGAGCAACGTAACTCGAAAGAGCAGTTCCACTCTTGATCCTACGTACCTCTACGCAGAGGTCCATCGCCTACCAAAATGGAGCCTTTATTTACAAACGAAGATGTCTCAAACTTGCATCGGGACACGCGTCGGATCCCTTTAGAATGTTTTCTCACTTTTTTTTTTTCTTTCTAAGGGTTCCAACACACTGTGATGTCACACTTTTTGGGTAGTGCCGGTCGGTTGGTGTGTTGTTCAGTTCGTTAGAGTCAGGTGGTTCATGAATTAAACTTGAGGATGTGCCACGTTGTCATCACAAACACTCGAAAATAAACAAATAACATGGATGGGTTCACAGGGGAAGCACTGGGGGGTTTAAGGAAATTAGGAACCATATGAAACTGGATGAGAGTGAAATGACACGCAATAGGTGTTGAATTAAAATGTAGAACGACAGTCGTTTTAAAAAAACTGACTAATCAGGAGAATGAGATGAGATGAGGAAGCCAAATATAAAGAACAAAAGCTTATGGAAAAAATTTGTATTAAACATACAGGACTTAACTATAAATTTCGAACAAAGAAAACGAATAGCAGGAGATAACAGAATCAGTCAGGGTCAGTAAAAGGTGGAGGTGGGGACGTAACAAGATATGGCTTTAGAGATAAAATAAGTAATTTAGTAAACCTCACGCAGAAAAAAAAAGCAAGAATATTGATAACAAATAGAAAAAGAAGGGTGAAGGTGGAACGAAGGTGGAAGGTTACAGGGACAACGCATACGACGGTGGCGGGAAGAGTAGGGATTGGGGACCACGGGAAAGAGGCACCGACCGGAAGAAGACGATGAAGTAGCTACGGGGTCGCCCACATGGAATGACGCCCGCAGCGGAAGATCACGTGACCATGGCCACTACGATCTCGACGATCACAAGGAAGTAGAAGGCAGCAACACAGCTCGGCGAAGAGTCTGTCGCTACCCGGAGATAGAAAGGGAAAACGGACAGTGTAAGCACCCACACGTGACATTATGACATCACGCTTGCCTCCGAACGAGTTATGGACAGTTGATGAGAACGAAGCTTATGTCATGCACGTGAAACTCTCTCTTATGACTCAGTCTTCAGCCAATCATGAACCGTGATTCACCCCACTAAATTCAAGTCGATTAAGCGAGCCAGATCTCGAAGCCTCGAAAACACCCAAGAACATCCCCTGTATTACAGATCGCTAACCTCAATTCACTATAACCTCCAGATTGTGTCATTTCCATTCGCCCTCTATTATACGAGAAACGTTTAGTCCCATTGCTTTATGATGTAACAATTGTGCGAAATATGGAACGATCTTACACTCCCGCGGGGTCCCCTAACTGGCCTTTTGCCAACAGATCCTCTACTTGTTTTTAGATATGAAATCACAGATTCTACAAACAATAAAAATCCTCCTTCTTAAAACAATCTATGTATTAAAATTTTAAAACTTAAGGTTACATTGAAACGCACGCGCAAACAAAGCACAAAACATCTAAAATTTTCAGATGTGCAAGGGTAAGAGATGCTATGATTTGCCGATATCAAATTGTACTAATAGTTTGCTCAAAAATGCAGAGAAAAATGTATGACCCGAATGGTTTAGAGTGCTGAATTGCATCAGCGTGCATCAACTATTCTACAAAAGGAAACGTTGTACATATGTGCACGGCCCTCATTTTCATATAGACAATCGCTCCAGCAATGTACATTTAGCTTGAAATTGAGGAATTATGGGAAACAAATTTGTGCCTAAGAACTAGTCAGAAATCTTTCTGATGCTCCCTTTAGATGAGAGATCAGTGACCGTGCGGACTAGCGCGCACCAAGTCAGAGCACGTGAAGCGAAAGCTCGCGTTGCTGAACTCGGAGATTCTAGGTTCACAGCCCACCCCAACCCGTTTCGACTTGGATGAGCATGTACCGGCGTGCGGTCGTGCACTACTGCGTGGTGCACGTTAAATACCGGATAGAGGTTATACTGCACTGGCTAAATTTCTTATTTACAGCTGAGACACCAGACGCTCGTTGGGGCTGAATATCTTCGGCTGTATAAACATACACACAACACAATTACTTTACTCCCTTTACGTCATCGTCCATTTTAGATTTACAAATTCTCTGATGCAATCGTAGTGGTTTTGCTGAGTCACCCGATAGCAATGTTACCGAGCGCACACGCAGTGGAAGTGCAGGATTAACAGTTTGTTATTTTTAGCAGCTCGCATTTTTATATGCAGTAACAAAATGTACCGCTATGTTTAGAAAGTATTTTTAGGTTTACGTACCTTGTATTTTTGGTGGCCCCGAGATAGGTGGCCTAAGGGGAAAACTTTGATGCTTGGTGATGGCGTCGCCGGACACTTCCAGCTTGCCCTCTGCAAGTCGAGCGAGCAACTGGTGTAAATTTCGCTAATTGCACCAAAAAAGTGTATCTCCCACAAAACAAATGCAATGTCTAAAAAAGGGGCCAAATTTTTAAAATACGCTATGGTTAGATTTGCTGCCGAACATGACATCATAATTTCCCACCTTCGACACTTTGAATCCTGGCCGTTGAGGGTTCCTTGACTTTGGTTGGCGGCGGTACGTGAATTTCTGAAACACAAAAAAAAAAAAAAAAAAGGAAAGATGAGAGGAATGAACAGCTCAAAATCGGTGGAAGCACACACACAAGACAGGACAAAGCTGTACTCTCAACTGTGAAATTTTATAGAAGAAACAGCATAAAAAAAAAGCATGGATAGTATCTTAAAAGACTACAAAACAGATAACACTACCCGCCAACCAAGCAACACGCCATAATCTATGGTCTGTGGCAGGCCAAGAACGAAGTGGAAGCTCCTCCCACCCATTTCCACTTCAGCGGAGCGAACGGCGGAGAGGAGGTCACCTCCTCTTCAGCGTTCGCTCTACTAAAGTGGAAAGAGGTGGGAGGAGCTTCCACTTCGTTCTTGACCTGTCACCGACTATACATCTTTCACCCTTGCACTACATGACTGAATTCTTCCTGCAGAAACGACAGCCCCTTTTCTGACAACACCAACGACCTCTCGCTGACACATGATTGCCCGTGGCTGGAAATGTGACAAACTTTTTTCTATAACTTCCCTTGTCACCTTATGCCCGCGTGCCCCCGGAATGGTGACCCTGCTAAAATCAGCCTACACGCCTACACATTTGCAATCTCTGCAATAGCGGAGAAATTAGAAAGGTTAATATAACTTCAAACTTCAATGTAAATTTTAAAATAAACGTACCTTAAAAAAGCAAAAAAAAAAAAAAGCAACCACAGAAGAGCGTATTTTCGGAAAACAAATGCAAAGATTCAGGTTAGGACATTGTAGAAGTATTGGACGTCATCCTTTAACTTACTTTAATGAGTATTTTATCAACCATAATTTAACAAAAAATATATTGCAAAGTCGGTTTCAACTGGGAATAGAAACTTAGACCATCTAATGATTACTTTTTAGGCCGTTAATAATGTTAGACAGTAATTGCAACCTAGTGCTTCATGTCATGGCCTAGCCTGGTCAAGACAAAGGATCCCAATATTGACCGGGCTGCAAACCTTCAGTCCGCCAGAATCGCTTGACCACCATCACATCGCCTTATTTCGTATATTATGACGTAATAAAACACAAAGCACACGTCGTAATTCTGTTACTGCAGCAGTTCATTTCCATGCTCCATCTTTATCCTCTCTTCACGCACACTCCACATAATCTCAGGTTGCTTCCGGATCTATTTCGCATCGAGAACATATAGGATCGATCTTTTCTCCCACAAAATAGGAAAATCGCCGCTGCAGGAAATGACCAAGCAGTCTCTTAGGTCAAGCACAGACAGATAAAAATAACCTGTCTACGAGATATAAATGTACTGAAAGAAAAAAAAGAAGCAATAAATGCGGCAAAGCCACACGCTTTCCAAACAGATGATTCATTGCTTTTCCGGTGCCTTTCAATGTCCAGTCCTTACATAATCTCAAGCCGATTAATTGATGAGGCCGTAGGACTAACGGGATTGTATTTCCGGTAAACGATTTATGGTAATCCAGAGAGGTTTTTCTTTTGTTTTGTCAGACACACTCAGATTGAGGATGCCAGATGTCGATCCTCTTGCGTGCATAGTAATCATTACGCAAGCTCCACTGATATCTTTTGTCTTTTTGGTCCTTCCTTGCCTACGTTCTTTACGGTCGCCTGCATTGGAGACTAGCACTTTTTTAGAGGAAGTCGGACATCCCAAGTTAGGAAGCTTCGATTTCTCGTAATCTACATGCAACATTAGTTAGAAAAAAAATTTTTCCACGTTATCGTAAATTCAGTTCGTTATGAATCAACATGCAGGAATGTCTGCGAGTGATGCAATATACTACACCCTTCCTTGATTATTATTCCTTCCTCCTGGAATTTCATTGCCATATTTTGGATTGTCATAGCCGTTCAGTGTTACAGTATCGTAAAATTACGTCTGACTTCATTTGATTATAAACCGGCTCTTTCAGTGAAAACTTTCAAAAATGGCAAAAAATATGGGGGTTGAGAAGAAAAAAAACTATTTGCGGGAACAAATTACCAGCAACTGTGCACGTCAGAGATTACGAAAACTTACTAATTAGATAAGTAATTATTTAAACTTTACGAACATTTAAATCGGTAAAACTAAACATGGTTATAATTAGAAACTCATTGAACATTTAATTAAACTTGAGGAAGAAAACGAGATGGAACAGACAAACACAAACTTCCAACTATTGTGTTTGTGTTTGTCCGTCCCTTCTCGTTTTCTTCCTCAAGTTTAATTATCTATACCAACCCGCTCGTTCTGTCCTTTCATTGAACATACCAGGGAAGATCTAAATCAACTCATTTTAGAAGTATATAGGGCAGCCAGAGCATTTTATGACAGATTCGCTAAGCTACCACCTTCCTCTAGCCAACCTCATATAGTGAAAACAAATATAGCGCACATGGGTTGCGCGCCTTGGCCACCATGGCGAAGGCGCACAATCAAAGAACAGGAAACCTTAAACCTTCAAACGCGTCCAAATCAACCGCATTTTCGGAACGCCGTAGACTGCTGCGGCTGCCTTATATATTCCTAAATTGAGTTGAGTTAGTGCTTTTCGATGGTGCTCAGAAAGTGTCGAATTAACGCCATATGTTTATCTTCCCTAATTAAGAATGTTTTGAGTAAACGTTATTTACTTATTTAGCTAATTATTGTGTTTTCTGCAATTCATAACATCCGCCGTGGCTGCCAGTTTGTTCCCAGAAGGAATCCCTTTTAAATTTTTCTCAACCACCCTATTTTGAGGAATTTTTGAAATTCTTCGCTGAAACATCCGGTATACCTTAAGCACGCCTGTGTCAATATACGACTGCAAGTTACCACAGCAGCTAAGAGACGCAACACTCGGCTGCCTTGTTCACTTAGGCAAAAAGGAAGGTCAGGACACTGGGCCGCTCATTTTCCCAGATCCTTCTGTGGGCGGTCTAGTTCGGAGCTTACACCGTACAAAAACCATGTGGAGAGTTAGAAACTGCATACAGCGCACGCGGTAATAACCAGATAGATTCGACCATCTTAGAAGCGCTATACCTGGTCAGTTTAAAGGCCTGTTCTCGCATACACCACAGAGATACATCAACGCTATGCGGGCACACAGTGAGGGAGAGGGGGGCGGGTACGCTGGAGCGCCGACCCCTGGTTGGAGTGATTAGTGGGTACACGTAAATGCCGGTTCAGAAACTTGCGTTTGAGTGCGTTTGACTGCGTTGCGTCGAGAACCGAAAACGACTCACCGGCACATCTGTGTTTCACATAAAGCGTAGAATCCAATTTAAGAAATCATCTTGGCACGCGATATAAGCAGCAGGGATGTCCTGGTTCCTCGCAGCCGCAATGCAGTCGAACGCAACTGTCTGAACCAGGCTTTAGGCTGCCTTCGTCTCCACTGCGCCAACGAACCCGTTTGTATGAGAAGGCCAGGCACCGGACGCCAACATTCCGCGTTTAACGCGTTCGACCAGTCCAGCGGAAACAAAGGCCAGCTAGCTTTAGGCCCACTCCCTTATATTTCCACCCAGAGCTCAGCGTCCTGACGTCCCCGAGTGCTATTGTCTACTCCTCTCCTCCAGTTTCAGCCCGCACAACTTAGAGCTGGAAATAGCGCTGACCTTGCTGATGCAGCGAGGACATTGCCCTTTATTGGTGATGCAATACAGACACACTCCTGCATCAGTGCTAGGTCTGCCCTGCATCATCGCTCCTCATAGAGTTGATTTAGCGTTTCGATGTGCGCTGAAGCCGACCTTTAGTTTCGCTACTCCGGCTTTAAAGGGTGCCACAGGGAGTGGATCTAGCCAACAGCTCCTTGGTAACACAATACGGTATCCTGTAGGTGTTTATTTTCCTAACTTACCGTAGAGCCGTATGGAGCCTTCGGTGGAGCCCAGCGAGTTCTTGGCGAAGCAGCGGTAGGCCCCGAAGTCCTCGGGTACGATGCGGCGAATCCTCAGCCGCATGTGGACCTTGTACACGTTCTCGGTGCGGTTCAGCGAGTACTTGGACGACTCGGCGATCAGGTCTCCTCCCTCCAGCGTCCAGTAGTTGATGGACATCGGGAAGGCCTCCGTGTTGCAGTCCATCACCACCTCGCCGCCGAGGGGCGCGCCGATCAGCTGGTTCGGGATCCAGATCATCGGGGGAACTGCGAACAGTGGTGCCGGGGAGGCGAATAAGAGAACCGTCATGGTTGGGCTCCCACCGAACGAAGACGGAAGGAAGCTAAGTAAATTTACGGCTCCCTTACGCCTTTACGACTGGAGCGTTTAGCGTCCCATTCCGCCCGTGCATCGAAAGGGGTTACGAAGTGGCAACAAATGACGTCACAAAGGCAGGAATGTTCTGCTGTCGGATGTTTTGATCCTGGTGGCTGGTCGTAAAAGTTCCGGCAAAAAGCGCGAGAAAGGGCGAGTGCCACCGTCGTAACGGCGTCTCCTAACTCCTGGCTGCCGAAGCTTCAGTGGGCTGTCAACCTGGAGAGCGATCGGTAGCAGAACAGGAGCCCGCAACATCCACATCCGCTGCTGGGACGCCGCCAGGATCGCGACAGGCGGCAGCGTGACTCTTCTACTACGTCATCAGGCGGAAATCGAGGGATCACTTGTTGAACCCGGTAAACACATTAGTTGGAGACTCGTTGAAGGCACCGTAATATATAATCGAATGCTTCGTGTCTTAACTAATCCGGGCGATAAGGTAATACTCCGCGAGTATAACACGAGATTGAGCGCATCTGGACAGGCGGAAGTAAATTGTGCCCGAAGTGTGCCTTAACAAGCCCAACAAAAGAGGACCTATTTTCTGGTCTTAGGGATGGAGTGTGTTAGAATATTGCGCCCTGTATCTAATACATTCGAGTAAAGTTGCTCGAAGTAATCGATGTGTAGTAGAGCGTGTCCACCCAAAAATTATAAAGCATTTTTTTTTTTTTTAATTTGCTAAAATGAACTACGCAACGCAGTATGCCTGTTCTTCGCTCAGATGTAGCGCTAACGGTTAGAACCACGTGCCAAAAATTCAGAACTAACAGCTACTTTACTAAAATAATTAAAAAAGGGCTCCCTTTTGGTAACTGGTGCCATTCAGCTTTGTGTATCCATTAGCTTGTCGGCCGCCATTTTCCCATTGAAAATCGAAAAGAAAAATCACTTATAAATTATAAATAAGATAATGGTGAGTTTTTAAACGTTGCCATCTGGTTCGAATATCTTTCGTTACTTTTGGGCGGCGGAGAATACGCGTTCGGCGATTAATAGTTTTATTATTGCCGTACAAAAATACTGTAAATATCTTTAGGGCACCCAGTATGTAGAACGAAGACGAGGATTTGTGAATGTGACTCACAGTGCACTTGGAGCAGGATCCTTCTGCTCACGGGTGATGGAACGCCGTTTGACGCGATGCAGAGATAGGGACCCATGTGGAGTCGACTCACTTTGGTGACGCTCAGCTCGTCCCCTTCGAACGACACGTCTGGACATAACAAGAAAAAAAAAAAAGAAAAAAAACTTTCTGGAACGGTGTGGTATGTAGGTTTCAGAGATTGCGTTCCGGTAAAAGTAGCGTATTTAAACAATTTACTCCCGATCAAAAATAAAACTAAGATTGCATTTCAGAAGCCACAGCGCGACAATCAGCTGAGCTAAAAGGGCGGTAGAATTAGGAAATTCATATAAATGTTTTTGATGTAGTTGAACGTTTAGTGAAGACGTGGTAAGCTAGCTACTACATCTATTTGTCGCCATGGACATGTTGGTGCTTCTCAATAAACCTTAGCAATGTTCATTATGTTGGGTACACAAGGGTCGTGCATTTTGTCCCGTGGCGGAGTGGCGAGGCCTTAGCAGGCCACCCTCGTCGGAACAATAACGCTTCAAGCACCTCCCTTATAGGATGCTTAAAATAAAATCTCCAGAAAGCCCAACAGTTGCGGCCCACGTTTTGCTAAAAAACGTGACTTCGTTGTTTTGTTTTTTAGAAAATTTAGGCTGCGATTCTAAAGCGTCTATGAGGTTTCCTTTCAATTCCTTTCGATCGGGTTTAGCAAAATTTGTTATTTGTTTCCCTCTTATTTTCCGACAGCACATCATGTTTCAACTGATCTCCGTATTTTTTAAAGTACAATATCATGCACCTATCGGTATTGCCTACAAAACAAGACCGCGTAGATGCAGAAATAATATATGTAGTTTACGATACAGCTCTAATACGAGTTCGACATCAGACAATATCGCTTTGATATCTTAACGGCACTAGCGCTTCCGTACCAATACAATGATTGCAAACTCTATCTGCTAAAAGCATTCCAGTATCTAAAGGCAGGAATAATTCGGGGCTCACTGTCGCTGGCGGCCGCGTGCTGCTGCCAGTTCCCAACGGCGATGGACTGGCCGTCCTCCCGTCTCCAGGTGATGCGAGGCGCCGGGTAGCCCTTGGCTCGGCACACGAGGGTCACGTTGGAACCCTCGCGCACTAGTACGTCCGAGCTGCTCTCTGAACCCACAATGTCCGGGGGCACTGCAAGATAACCCACACTCCCGTCAAAACGAAGTCCGACAACTACTTCGATTCTAAACACTGTGTTCAAAAATCAAATTGCCATACAAACACGTCACCGGAGAATTTGGACGACACCTCATTGGAGCCGCATCACACAAGCAACCAATGTCCCGCAAAGAAACCTATGCGCCGAGAAACTCAGGGAGAGACTAAGTAGAAAGACCGCGGAGACATGAGAACGCTAAGCTCTGCTTGGAACGAACAGTGGGTAGGCCTAAAGCTCCGCTGCACTCGTCGAACGCATAAGAAAGCGGAACGCCGGCATCCGGTGTTTGGCGCTCGCATTCAAATGCTTTCCAAGAGTGCAGGGGAAACAGGCAGCTAGCTTTAGGTCTACTGTTGAGACCGACTCTAACGAAGTCGGTTATAACAAAATAACGGCTACTGCGAAGCGATCACGATTTCCCATTCCCTTTTGCACTTCGTCAACCGAAGTCGGTTATAACGAAATAGCGGCTACAGCGAAGCGATCACGATTTCCCATTCCCTTTTGCACTTCGTTAACCGAAGTCGGTTATAACGAAATAGCGGCTACAGCGAAGCGATCTCGATTTCCCATTCCCTTCTGCACTTCGTTAACCGAAGTCGGTTATAACAAAATAGCGGCTACAGCGAAGCGATCACGATTTCCCATTTCCTTTTGCACTTCGCTATAACCGAAGTCGGTTATAACGAAATAGCGGATATAGTGAAGTGATTTCCGATTCCCGTCGACTTCGTTATAACCGCTCTCGACAGTACCCACTAATATTTCGAACAAGAGCTCGGCGTTCTGAAATTCCCCCACGCACTCGCTTCCTTCTCTCCATCGGTTTCTCCGCGCATGGCCGCTCTGAGGCATGTTTGAACACGGTGCCTGAAGAGACTTCACTCAATAACTAAGCAGCCAGTGTGAATAAGAAGAGCTCCAGGTTTGATTTTAGTCACGTTTTATGCCTGCGCTACGCACTACGCAGTTTTGTTCCAGTGACAGGCATCACGTGTTAGATTATCACGCGATTTGCTTTTTGTATCATCCACGATCGAGTCCGTTGATGGCATCAAGACTCTTGGGTGTAATATTTTCTGAACACATGTCTTAGAATCCTCACATAGCCTATATTCATAAAAAAAGCTGTACAAAGTCGTATGAATAATTAATAATTAAAGATATATTCTTCCAGCAAACATAAAAAAAAAACTAATTTTAATGCACTTCTTTATGCATTTATCTGTTACGCCCATCTAGTGTCGGGAACGACAACAAAGGAAAACTTGAACAAGTTACGACAACTACAGAAAAAGAGCTCTAAGAATAATTGAAAACGTTCCTCGTGATCATCACTCGTTTTAGTTATTTTTGAAAAACAAAGAATCATTTATATATCAAATATGTATTGTTATAGGTTAATTCGAAACTATCATCAATCCATAAAAGAAAACAACGGAATTATTTTAGATCCTTGCTAAGCTCGAAACAAATGGATCACTGTACCAATCACGCTATCGGGCTCCCTGTCGTATTCTCACCGTTAGAACAAATTTTGGTACTCAATGATACCATTATAAATTACCCGTTTTATTAAACGCTTCGTTTTCTCGTGATATTGAATTATTCTCGGTAAACAGTCGCACCATTCAAGAAATATTCTAAGGCGAAAACCTGATTTACTTTGTATAATATAAAATTATTAAAAGTATAATTTTGTATGCATTTTTTTAAATTTATGTATGAGTCATGCACATGTTCATCTTGCCAGTGCTATTGCAACCTCGTAATGGTGCGGGATCTCGTCAAGCTGCAGTTCTGCAGTTTTTTTTTTTTTCCAGCGCCCTCGTCGGGAATGTATTCTTTGTGGCAAATACACTGATTTTATTTTAGTGAATATGATTACTATTTGGGTGTTTTAATTTTAAAATGTCGTTGACGCTTTGTAGTGAAACTAAAGTTAAACTTGAGTTTAAAGTTAAACTTTAGGGCAAACACCGAATGCAATTACGACCTTAGCTCTTCCTTCACATAAGACCTCTCTTTTACTTTATTACTCCTGGTGAAATTTGAAGGGAAACGAGCCTAGGAAACACGAGAATGCTAACTCGAACTCTATAGGTATAAGGTTTACACCCGCATCAGTGTCAAATGAAATTAATTCTATTGTCATAGCAGAAACATGGCAAAAAAAAGACAAGGACGATGAAGGAAACAGACGTAAGGGCATTTACATTTAACAAGCTTCAGTTTCATTCGCTCCAGGGATTTAAAAGAAACGGTCATTCATACTTCTTTCGAGGCGGTCTACCGTAGAAACGACACGGCAGGTTGCCGGGAGACCGCCAAAGCAAGACACGGAAAAGGAGGAGGCAAAGGGATTCACCGTTCAGATCCCAGCCCTGTTTTACTCCCGTTCGAAAAAAACCCGAGCAAAGAAATGCGGGGCCAAAGCAGAGCGGCGGAAATTGTTCCGCAAGTGTCCGCCACGATAGAACCACTCCGACGGCGTTAGCGGCATTACCCGGGAGTGCCCGGAAACTGCCTTCGCAAATGGAACGACGCTCGTTGTTGCTGATGCCGCTGCCGCTGCGCCGCCGGACCGGACCGGAGACACAGGCGTTTGTCGCGGCGGGATACCAAGGAAAAGAGACACGCAAAAAGCGCGTCTGATGGAAGTGGGTGCCGCCATCTTGGTTAGCCAAATCGAGTTATGGGATGCGACCCTCGATGAGGTGGTTTTGCCTGGCCGCTTCCCGCTTCCGACACGCCCCAAGCCGCTGCTAAGGCACCACCAAAATGTGAGAGGAGGACGGGTTACATTACGCGAAAGAGGGCATGAAAAGAAGAAACGCAAAAGTGGAAAAATGTGAGAGATAAGAAGCGTGGGAAAGAAGAAAAAAAGCGCGGGAAAGTAAGGAAAGGCGCAGGTAGTGAGGAAGAGAGCGAGATTAGAAGAAGAAACCGCTGGAGACGAAGCAGGAATGAGAAAGGACGAAAGACAATCTAATTTGAGATTCACCAGCAGTGCCAAACCCCCTTCTCCCCTTTCCCCGATCTCCCCGCCTCGAAGTGCTCATCTCTTCCCATAAGTGAATGGCGAGGGACTCCGAGTGCGAAGGGGGAGCGAGATGAGCGAGACGCTTTAAAAGTCGATAATTTAAAGTTGGGGAAGAAAGGGAAGAAGGGATTTAAGGTGAACGATCTGCCTGCAGAGCGCGTGACATGCACGACTTTCCTCCTGTCGAGATTTTCGACCTTGTTTTAGTCGAATTTACGTCTTGTTTTCTTCGGATCTTCTTGTTGGCTGTCGGGCTTGTAGTGCTATCCGCTTGGCTGCGTTCAGGCGTACCTCGTTCGAACCAAAAAAAAAATGTAAAGAAATACAAACTCTTCTGAAAGCAGTAGGCCGTGTATCAGAGCCTGCGCAACCAGGGAATGTTCGAATCATAGGTGGCAGCTCGGGCCATCGTGTGTGACCACATATATTTCCTGGCTATCACTGTTTCGTTTCGCTGATCAAGAAGGAAAACATTCCGAGGACACCTAAGCACTTCTTATGAGTTGTGAATGCGAAAGCATGCCTGTTGTTGTTCCGCTCCCTTAGTTCGTCTGCGGCGTGCTGGCGTGGACGGCCAAGTTTAGCTACTGCCGAGGTAGCGGCCGACGGCCGAGCGCGCGCTCCCTTGTGAAGTGGCCGCGCCGTGCTGAGCTCGGCCGCGCAGCGTCTACGGAGTTTGACCGTGCGGGCTGTGCGGCCAGCTGCCCCCTTTTACCGGCGGCCGGGCCGCTGCGCGCGGTGCGCCGCCTTGGAGAGGGCTTCTCTGGCGGCGTTTCTTGGAACTACGCCGCGCGAGAGCCTTGAGACTATTACGCGCTCCAGCCAATAGGAGCCTGTCCGTCAAATTTCTGCTACAGACGACAGGCTTCGCTCCATTGGCACAGGGGAAGGTGCAGTTTGGCGCAGCTTCAAAATCTGATGACGTCAGTTGGCCCCATAAGACAGTTTTCATGCTTTCACATTAAAAGGCTACAATCCAACTGACTGCACAAGCTATGCTCACTGAGACGATTCGGACGAACAAATTTCCTTGCACTTGTTGGTGGTTTTACTGCCTGCTGCGGTTTCAAGTGGCGAGTAAATGTTAATTCAAGCTCAGCATTTTTTGTGTTAGATTTTATTTAAGAATTAATAATCATGTGATTAAGAACAGAGGTGTCATCATGTGATATTCCTAACGCGGTATCACAAAGGATTAAAAAAAAGTTCTTATTGAATTTTATTATGTGTATCAGCTTACCTGTCTTCTTATTTCGTAGTCAAATGCATTCGCTCGGTTTAATTATATATTAAAGGAGAACATAGATTAATAAACGCTTAAACAAAAAGAAACATATTTCTTGATGAGCCGAAGTCTACCTCATCCTAATATTCGTCAAACCAAGGAACGAGCTAGCGGGCGCCTCTGGCATTCAATTCAATAAAAAGCTAGCAGATATATAGATGCTACCAAAAAAAAAAAAAAGTGACTAAATGCCGTGGTCATTACTCGCTCAAAAAGGAACTAATTACAGTACTCGTTACTGAGATTCAAAAGGAACGCGATACTTGAGCCAAAAGGTAACAAATTGTTTTCTTGTTACTCTAAATTTTTTGGGTTTTTTTCGTTTTGTTTTACGCAGTAGTAATTATTTAGTGTATTCTTCGTTAACAACGCCTCTTTCTTAAATGCATTCATGGAAATATTGATGGTGGCAATAAGTGTGGCTATGCAAAATCCTTTGCGACCATTTCTTTTAATTGGATCTTTGGCTCTTTCTTGCGATGAAAGTCAGAGGCGCAAACTGGGCTGAAAACCAAATTGGGTAATTTGCTTTGTACATGCTTTGCTCCAGAAGTAACGAAATACGTTTACTCCTTAACCCATCAAAAACTAACAAGAATAAGTTAGTCGTTCCTTCTTAAAAGTAAGTTGTTGTGCCTCGATAC